TTTTTTTCCGAAAGCATATCCATGCTCACCTCTGGCCAGTTTCCGGAATCGGTTTTCACAACTCTTCCATCCTCCATCACACAAATAAAATAAACAATAATTACTTAACTATTAAAATTGTTATTATTTTTCTTTCAAGTGGTTTATGGGAAATAAAGCTGGATTTATACAGCAAATAAAATAAAATAAGATAACATAAGATAAAATAACAAATACATACCTAATGCATTTCTTATTTTATTTGTTATTTTCTGTATAAACACTTTAAGGGTAAGGGTTCTCATGAGGTTAACTGTTATTTCTTATTTGTTATTTTATCTTATTTTATTTTATTTGCTGTATAAATCCAGCTTTAAAGAAGAGTATAATTTTTATGTGTATGGATTCCATACCTTCCAGTTTCCCTAAAGACCTTTTTAGATTTTCACAGGCAAAAACATCATTTTCCTTTTTTCTTCAAATTACACTGCCCCAACCTGCTGTTTTTTGTTGTTAATTATTGTTTATTATGTTTGTGATGGAAGATGGAATGGATGAACCGGGTTTGTAAAAGCCAGGGGTCACTGACCTAATGTGCTAATAGTAAACAAAAATCACTTTTATCGTTTTCTTGCTTATACTGTGCCGGATTAGTACAGATACCGATTTCTTTGTTTAATTCGCATTTATAGACAAGGAAAGAAAATTGTCGATACTAGTCGATACTTCAATTATTAGATGTCGTTCTTCTCTTTCAATTCAAAAGTAGGGCTGTACCAGAGTCGATACGCAAAGCGATTTTGATAAATAAATACCTCTTTTTTGTCCGATGTGTTAAAAAGAAAAAAAAAAGATTCGTTTGGAACATGGAAATTTGACAATCAGTAATTTTTGATTGGTGCAAAAATATGGCGCAAAATTCAAATAATCTGCTTTGTTGCTTTCAATTTCTGGCTTAAAGATTTTTAAGCACAGGGCTTTCAAGTCCTCAAAGTGCTTCAAGCCCTTTCATAAGCACAAAGCACTCAAGCCCTGCCCAGCTCTGAAAGAAATTGATGCGTTTTTTCTTAAAACATATATTGCACACATTTGTTGAATGAATCCACATTTATTTATTATCCTAGATACTGATTGTGAAAGAGCAATTGGATGCATTTTGTAAATTAATCGCCGACGACAATTATGTAGGTAGGTACTGATTCTTCAATAAACTGGTAATATTACTACTGCTGGGATAAGTGTTCGATGCTATCTTCAAGTTATCGGATACAGGTGAAGTCACTGGAGACGAGGAGGAGGACATCAAGTTACCCATTACCAGACCAAGGTTCCTAAAGTTAATAGGTTACCTGGTAATGGGTAACTTGATGACACATCTGGGGTACCATATAAAGATTTGTATTAGTTTCGAGGCATACAGATGACGCCATAAAGTTATCAGGGAACCCACCTCTCTCGAACAACCTTGTTATCAAACAAGCTGTTAACTTTAGGAACCTTGCATTTCCATTATGTTTAGGCATACATATGACGTCATGAAAGTTATCAGGTGCGGGATTCTAAACCTCTTGTCGCAACCTATCGTCCCGACTATCCGCATCGCCTTTTTAAAAGTGGTCGGGACATAACATATCGATAGTTTGAGAATCCCACCAGGACTGGGACTCTGTGACGAATTAAGATATTGTCTCTATCTCTATTGACATCCCCTCTCTATTGATTTCGAAAACAGAGAAGAAGACAGCAAGTGCCATAGCGATAAGGATAATGATCTCTATCCGTTACAGAGTCCCAGCACAGGCAGCCTACCACTTTTAGACAACCCTGATCCAAACCGCAAATGCCAGGATTCAATATAGCAGCAATTAGACTATCCAAGATGCTGTCAAACTTAAATTAGAATGTCCGCCAAGAGGCACACAAGCCTTTTATTTGCTTGTCCAATTCAAGTGTTTTGGATAGGCTTTGACTATCCAAGGTGCTGTCGAACTTAAATTATAATGTCCTGTCAAGAGGCACACATACCCTTTGTTTGCTTGTCGAAGTCACGTGTTTTGGATAGGCTAATTGTCAAGCACCTGTGCTGTTTATTGATTTTTGAAGTTTTCTCAGCGAGAGATATTTGACAGATGTCACGTGATTTGACACATGAAAAAAGATAAGTGATCACGTGACGCCCATCAAAATTTGCTCTTTTTGCTTGCAGATGCAATTACTGAACCCGGTCCGTATTTTTTTTTTATGACGTCAAAGGGGCGGCAAATTATGATTCCGCCCCGGGTGACAATAGCCCATGCTACGCAACTAATACTGGGTCACCCTGTATAGTTACAGAATTTGTGCAATGATGAAAAATGCTTATTTTGGCTAGTAATACAACCAAATTTTTTGAAAAAATTGACCGGTCCCCGAAAACCCATAAGATGTGTGCGTCCTTCCTTAAATTGGAGGAAAATAAGAAGCGTCCTGCAAAGCCGCAAAAACGCCGGCCGAAACATTCCACTGGGTTATTTGACATCACCGCTGCTTTCGTAATTTTAATTTGCGGACATAACGATGCTTTAAGTGATCGAGCATCTTTTCTGCAGAGTCGTAGTAACTTTCAGAACCAAATTCCAATGTGTGGCCACCCTCACGAAGTTATCCTCTGCTTTTCTTCGCTCAAAGTCTTCTTGATATTTCCATCGCAACTATCTCTGTAAAAAACCAGACCCCGGATTCTATTTTACGAGTCGAGTCGAATTGTTTCGATATCGAATACGACAGTCCGGAATATTGGTTAAATTATTATCCAACTATAGGTGGTCAAGGGTCATATCAACATCGAATAAGAGGATCTAGGACCCAGGACTGACCATGCATAAGAAGTGGACGTGAAAATCCCACGTTGAAAATAACCGAAATCAAGGTGCAACCATAGGTCAACGGGTTGATGGATCGGAAGAGTATTAAAAACCAAAATAGATTGTTGTTCTCTGAAAAAGTATGACTTGGGTCTCAGGATGATTGATATTGATGCACCATTCTGGAATCAAGCTCATTTCTTCCTATAAGTTCCTATGGAGTTTCTCTCAAACCTTTTCGGAACTGCTGAATCAGCTACGTATAATGCAATCTTCACGTCCTGTGTCTTCGGATTGTGGCGATCATAGTGCGGCGAGAGCATCGACCCTCGTAGAACACCGGCCTCCAGTTCTCTAGTTCTTGGGCAATGTTTGCCAATCTTTATGCCGAAGATTCTTGCTGTCAGATAATTTTGATCCAGTTATCGAGCCATTTCTTGATAGCCGGCTTCAATCTTCGTGTGAACTAATCCGTCATGCCAGAATCTGTCGTTTGAGATCTAACAAGACTTCCGGGCTGGGACTCTGTAACGAATAGAGATATTTTCTTTATCTCTATTGACATCCCCTCTCTATTGATTTCGAGAAGAGAAGAAAACAGCAAGTGCCATAGCGATAGAGATAACGATCTCTATCCAATACAGAGTTCCAGTGTCTTATTCCAACTAAATCCATTTGTGGTTTGATGAGCTAGTCTGAGCGCCTATAGCTTGGTTGAATTACCTGCTCTCAGTTCAAATTGTTCTTCAGGAATCAATTCCAGGTCATCAGATTCCTGTAGGATCCTGGAATTGATAGCTCTCTGACAGCTTGCCCAAAAGGGCATGGGACCATAGTTCTGTAAGAACTTTCTAATCTTTCCTGCTATGATGCTTAGCACCAATAATGTCCTCCACATACTTCCAGCACTGTGGGAAATAGATCATCTACCTAATCTTAATATTAAATTGCTGATTTTCGCTACAGTCTGTTTAGAATATTGTTATATGAAAGATACCTCTAGGTATATTTGGCATAATATTCTATTCACTATTTACGCGAGAAAATCGGTTTTCAAGGAATTTGCATGTATGCTTATTTTGGACACACTGTAGCTACTTTTAGTACTGATTTTTTCACTAAAACTTTATTGTCATAAATTTCAAGACTTTTTCTAAAAAACTAAGGTAGTTATTTAATTTTTAATGCTTATTATCACTTTTAGGTATTTAAATTTACTAGCACCTGCCAAGTTCGCCATTTTTTAAAACCCTGTAAAAAATATACCTCCGAATTTAGAGTGACAAGAAGTCAATATGGTTTAATATAGTTCTTTACTACACATGAAAACCTATTTCACAATTCTAGGACGACTTAAAAACGGAAAGTCATATCAGGCACTATACTATGTGAACAATTTGCCAGATTCTTAGAGAAAGCGCGAATTTGACAATCGGGTCTATTCTGTAACTCAAATCGAATCGACAATCGAAAACTTGAATCGATAACTGTGGACATTTTTCCACAGTTATCGATTCAAGTTTTCGATTGTCGATTCGAGTTACAGAATAGACCCGAATGTCGCATTCTTGATTTATAGCAACATTCTGGAATTAGCTGTTCTTCTAATCAGTATTGAAACATCACCATGTTACATATTTCCCTCCACTTCCCGAGGGATGAGCCTTATAGTTTTTTTTTTTTTTCTTTTAAATAGTCAAAAAATAACATCTGGATGTTAAATATATGCAATTTTAAATAAATAATAGCAATTATACTACTCGTTTGCCCTTGGGAAATACACTTAATTACCTTGACAAGCTTTGCTGAACAAATTCTTTAAATCGACAAACACACAATTACCTATGGTATAACTAACTGAATAGCATCAAAAAAAGCCTGTCCAAAACTAATTATTGGTTTGGGTGACCTGTCGAATTTTTACCATGACAGAGACAGATTGAGGTAAACTTTGAAAAAATTGCAATAATTCAGATACAATCTTTAATTGAATTGATAAGGATAGTATTTTATTTTTAATTTGAGTTACACTTTTCCCCCAATTGAACAGCTCAATAAATAGTACAAATTTCATGTTTCAGAAAATAGAAAAATTGTGCCACCCAGTATAAGCCTAAATTTTACGTCACCTGCCAGCTTTTTTACTACAAGCGAAGCAGAATCGATAGTCTAAAGTTTACTGGGTTGTATATTGGCCTGTGCTATGCGCGCCAGTTTTCTCACAAACATGGCCGCCAGAAGCTGCCCGGATAGTCTCGAATATTACATCACATTTCCAAATCCGAATTTTAATTATCAGCAAAACAATGGCGAATCTGATTTCGTTTTTGTGGTCAACGAGAAAAAATTGCCAGTGATTTTGTTGTTCGGCTGGGCAGGGTGCAAGGATAAATATTTGGCCAAGTATTCGCAAATTTATGAGGAAAAAGGGTAAGAATTTATCATGTCCTTTGGATAATTCGCAGTATTTTAATTGAATAGTGATCAAGTCAATCAAATATTTATTTGAAAATTAAATTGTTGATTGGTAAGTGTCATAAAGAGAAAAATCGTTATTTGCTGTGGCAGGAAATGCCGGTCGGATCGATTTTTCCCGGTCATCAGCTGTAGATACCAAAATTACCAATGCATAGAGGAATGTTTATGTTTGCTTAGAAAATTATTGAATTCATCAATATATTAACCAATGTTTAAATGCATAGTAAATTAAATTGAATATACGGCAGCTCATAAATAATTGCCCATTAAATTTTTAATTAATTAATTAAAAAATTTCTCCTTCAAGGCATTTTCAATTATTATCTAACAGTCTAACATCCGAAACCTGGTTTTTGCTAGTTACCAGTTTAAAGGTGATGGGTTTAGCCAACTCTTAATGCATAATGCACAATTTTAATTCATAATTGATAATTTTTAAAACTTCATATTTAAATACACCCATTTATACAACGCATAGTTCATAGTGGATAATTTAGTGTATAATGCGTAATTCATAAAGTTAACTAACTTTTAACTTTTACGAATTTTCGATTATGCATTATGCGAAAAACGCTAGTGCGCAAGCGTATTTTAATCGATTATTTCCAACTTTGTGTTTGTTTTGGTTTTGCTTCATAACCTCGAAATCTTTTTGTTTGTTTTCCTGTTGTTTCCAATGGTTTTTGAACTGGAATCGAGTTTTTCCGTTTTCAATTAAATAAATGATAATTTTTCCTAATAATATAAAGCCCAATTTATTATTTATTTAATTATTTATTATTTTATGAAAAATAACAAGTGTCAAAGTCGACTGTCTTGTCAGTTCATAATGCACAAAATTTATGCGTTGTATAAACACCTCTTTTCTCTTATGCATTACGCATTATGAATTACACATTATCAATTAATTATGAATTAAAATTGTGCATTATCGATTAAGAGTTGGCTAAACCCACCTTAAAATTTGTAACTTGAAAAAAAAAAAAAAAAAAACAGTTTCGGCCTCCGAAAGTTAGTTATTTGCGAATCTGCTGAAATTATAGATTTTTCAAAAGTTCCACGTGCAATCTTAGAGAACATATCAGGTAGATTTGGAAGGGGAAGGGAATTTGTGAAATTAAACTGTAAAAAATTCCAATGAGTGACTGCAGTTTGGATAGTGAGTTAGTTCACCGAGTTCATTTTTTGAGTAAAATTTTAATAAAAAATGATTATTTTCACAATTTCTTCCAATCATGAAGGTATTTCGATCAAAATGGAGTAAATTAACTAAAAGGACGAATAGAAAAGATTGGAAAACTCATTTGAGGTGATTTTAACTCCATTTGAAAATAATGTAAGAGATAAAGAGTAGAAATCGCTCATTTTTTAGAGCTTTTGCGAAATACATTTGCGATTTGATGCTCATTCCTCCCATTCACGCATTACGCAAGCTCACATTGTACGGTACGGATGCACTCGAAACGTCGTCCTGTTTGTTTCCCGATAACCCCAAATTTATTTACCTATTTATCCGAATCCCGAATGTGATGTGTAGCTTTTTTGAAACTATATACCTATACTTACTCGCGGGTGTAGTTTATAGAATTAACCAAGGCGAATTTCAGATAGATTTGCATAATCCCTATTAAGCCATTAGTTTGAATTTCTTTACAGGGCATATTAGTTGATTTCCTGGAAAGTAATTTACCAGCAGGATAAATTTACAGCAACTTGGTACTGGAACAAATATAATACCTACATTAAAATTGGTAAGTACCATCCAATGTACTTAATCCTGCTGGTAGCTACTTGGAAGGAGATTGATATTGGTTTCTAACTCAATCATTGACTACTTTAAACTTTTATTGAGTTAAATTTTAATCAAGATCGATCCAACTGAACAAATAATAACTAGAATTAAAATCATTTTTGATTATAATGAACTCTTTATTGATCGTCAATCACTCTTTTGGGACACTTTTATTTCACTCATAAAATTTTCATTTCACTCACGCCAATAGAGTGAAAATTCAACTCAATCCGGTGTGGACCTTCTCTGAGACAATATTGAGTGAAATTTGAGTGGAAATTCACTCAATATTTTTTACAGTGTAGGCTTGGATTTCAAGAAATAATAATAAATAAATAAATAAAAAAAAAAAAAAAAAAATAAAGTGCTATTAGAACACTTTTGCGTCAATAAAGTAGGACTTTATTTCACTGTAAAATAAAGTGCTACTTTATTTTACTTGTAAAAAAATGCTACTTTATTGCCTATCTGGACTACCTGACAATCTGCCAAGCTGAAACAGTTATACTCGAATTTCAATTTTTTCAATAATTTTTTTTTAAATTTTTAATAAAAACCAGTCGCAATCATACATAAAATCATGTATACAATGCTTTTTATTACATAAACAGGCTTCATTGACTCATTATTTGATAGCCTCGAACGCAAGCTCGCTCGGCTATAAAATTATTCTTACAATTTTAAAGCCTGTAAAGTAAGGCTTTAAAATTGTACGGGTTATCCAACGGGGTGATGGTAAATCCCCCCATCCGTGTGCTTTATACCTTATATACATGTTAATTGAAGAGATACAAAAAAAATTTGAACATAAAAGTTGTTGGGATTTTTATAAGCAGCATTTATCAAAAACAAAATGGAAAGTCGGATTTGGAAAATAGAGCAAAAAATTTTTGTAGCCTAATTTAAATGGAATGATTCATTTTAGAATATTTTTTCGGATTCTACATTGAATTTGAGCCCTGACATATGTTACATGACAGTTAAATTTAGCCATTTTGGAGATATCGCTTAATTGTTTGGGCCAGTTTAGGCCAATACATAGTGGCAATGCCATCTTTCTCAATTTTATTGATTTTGATGATTTTGATTAATGTCATTAAGTTTTGTCAGAAAGACTTCAATTTTTTAAATTTTATATCTATTTTGCTCTGAGTTGGAGCTCTTTGAAAGTATAGTATATTGTGTAGTTAGGTGGAAAAGTGACACATTCTCGGCCGACGGTGTAAGTTGACGGGCAAGGCGTAGAAGGCCGAGAATGTGCTTTTCCACCGAAATACACATACTATTTTTTCTGCGATCGGTTGAATTTCTGGTAAATGTTTGTCTTTTTGTTGCAATTGTTCAGCAGTACGAGAATCACTTTCCCGGCCTAGGCCCGAAAAGTGATTCCAGTTTTGTTATTCATTGATTTCTTAGTAACTATTGAAACATAATTAAAATACCAGAATATTGAGTTTTGCGACCTGTCAACCGGTCAAAAATGCTGACATTTCTTGTCAATCGCAGAAAAAATTATTTGCACATTTTATACAGTCCACTTATTGAACATACATTTTGGTCCAGACGAGCCAGATATTTCGAAGAAAAGTGCAATATTTATTGTGTATTGAGGCAAAGGATCCCGCACATTTCTTATGGAAAAGTGATCTATGTGGAATTTTGCTGAATTTTTGATATTGTGTATAGGGAGTCGTCCTTAACAAAAGTGATCATTGCGCTAATGTTCAATACCCAACAGTTTTCAAGATATCAATTAAAAACTTTTTTAATTATACTCTTCAGTATGACGTCACTCACAGCAACGAAAATTACTTTACTCTTCTCCTTTTAACATTGAGAAAAAAAAAGATAGCGATAGCGATTAGTGACAAATAGGTAGGTATGCAAACAACACCTAGCTCCTACCGCAATCGCGTCAACTTCATGTCATGATGTCTGTCATATAGCGATTTCATTTGTACCTGTTGTTGTTTTTTTTAATTCCTAAATGTTAAAAGGAGAAGAGTATAAGTATAGGTAGTCAAAGTTAAAAGTGAAAAGGATAGTTTTAATTTTCGGTGCTGTGAGCATACTGGTGACGTCATACTGAAGAGTATCAAATTAAAAAAGTTTTTAATTGATATGTTGAAAACTGTTGGGTATTGAACATTAGCGCAATGATCACTTTTGTTAAGGTCGACTCCCTATACACAATATCAAAAATTCAGCAAAATTCCACATAGATCACTTTTCCATAAGAAATGTGCGTGGGTCCTTTGGTACTGGCAAACGCAACTATTTTTGCAACCTCATACCGAAAATATTTTGAAGTCTTTTATTGCTATTTCCAGTCTGGAATTCAGCAATTTTCAATGGTTGAATAATTGGATGGATAAGAAGTCAAATAAGTCCGTTGCCTATTATATGTGATTTGGTCAGTCTATTTGCTTCGAATTCCTGTTTATTTCTATGTAGTAGGTTTGTTTAGTGCTATATTTGTCCAGTATGGTTAACCTAAATAAACTGAAATTAAAAAGAGGTTCTGTTAAAAGTCAATTAACGAGGTTCAAAAACTATTTTATTTACAACCACATACGTAATGTTGATATTTCTGACTTTTAAAAAGTTTGAAAGTGATACTTTTTTGAATTTTACTTTCCTCCCGGGTGGAAAGTGGACCCGGATGGAAAGTGCTCACTTTCCACCCGGGTGGAAAGTAATCCCTCATTTCCTGAAATGTAAAACACAAGTCCTGCATGTCAAACTTTTGTTTAGATGAGTCCGAACTTGTCAACACTTTTTTTAAATTTTTATTTAGCATTTAGACAAAAACTGTGATGGTTGTAATTGTTGTAAATAAAATAGTATACAAACCTCGGTAGGAAGTTTCATTCCTGTCTCGAGATTATAGTTAACTTCGACGCTTTGCGTCTGAGTTAACTAACTAATCTCTCGACAGTAATGAAACACTTCCCACCTCGGTATGTAATATACTATTATTTACAATCATACATGTAATGTTGACTTTACTGACTTTTAAAAAGTTCGAAAATGTCACTTTTTTGACTTTTACTTTCGGCCCACGGGTCGAAAGTAAACTTTCGACCCGTGGGCCGAAAGTAAATGAAATTGTTAATTATTGTATTTTTTAGTTTTAATTCAAATGAAAATTTCAAAATTC